GGTGAACTTCAACTATCATCATTTTGTTTCTCTATGTTGAAAGCGTTGTAAAATGTGTTCAAGAATTAACAAACATTGTAGGGGAAATTCGCCTAATTGCGGACACTTTTTCAAATCCGGAAGTTTGGATACCATTAAGGCCAATTGCGGACATACTGGTGGTTGCATTTGACAGGAGAGGATAGAGGGGTATCAAATGGACTATTTCCCGCGTTTTCAGGTCTCCTCTCGTGATTAGTAGATTGCAAACTCTTAAAACCCGCGGAAATGCCGAGTCGCGTAAATGCGGACAGGAGGAGTTAAAATACGGACACCTTGTCGTCAAATTGCGGACACTTATTTTTGAACAGTTCTTGCTATTCAAAACGCCGGTATTATGCATATATAATATTATCTCTCATGAATACCCCTAAGGAATACCCTTTCAGTGCATCTTAAAGAATGTTTGAGAATGGTTTTCTCGCATGAATTGGTAATACATGTGGGAAGGTGATAAAATAAGATTAAAAAAGTTCATTAAATATCGTATACCACACCAATTATTAAATGATATAAGATGCAGAAACTTTTTTGTTCTGACAACTTCCATCGGGAAATTGTCTTCCAAGATGTATGCATGCATATATACGAGATATAGTTGTGATAATTTTCAATTTCAAATCGTATGGCATTCATTGCAATGTGTTTTTATGTCCTAATCACTTAAAAATCCGTAGCCCTCACTCAAGAGCATAAGATGCCTTGAGGCGAGATATTTTTTTTTCACTTTTCGATACTTATAAGATAATTTTATTTATCGTCTGGTTTCTATGTACTCTTTGACAAACATGATTTTTTGCGGCCCATCCAACACCATGAACATCTGAAAACAGTTTATGGAATGTGTAAAAAGGCTTCATTTGTAAGAATTAGGAAATCAAAAATGGGAAAACGCAAGGTGTGAGGAACCATGCAAATTTTGTAAATTGGAATGTTAAAAAAAAAAAAAATAAGAATATGGAAAATGGACACCAAAAATTTTAGGGAATTATGGAAAAGTCAGGATTATGTTTAGTTTTATATGTATTGTCTATCATTTGTTGTTTCTAATGTATTGGTCTTTTGTTGGGCAATGTATGACAAATATATGTTGAAAAACCTAGTCCGTATTTATAAATTATGTAATTCATTGACCGCTCCCGACATGTGTAACTTCAAGCATATTTTAGCGGCGATCGATGTCTTTCAAAATTACTGCACTTTTCTTGTATCCCTGGTGCTTTCGACTGGAGAACCGTCGTACACAAGCATCGCACAAGTTGGCACTCCGAGGCGGGTAGGGAGCAAGAAGGTGAACTTTGGTTTATTTTTATCAATAGTACCGTCTTGACCTTGTAGGATATGAATGATGCGTTCATTGTTGAAGACCCTACATCAACTGTCAAGATGAAGAACAGGAATAAAAGCCCTGTTCATTGATATTTTTTTATTTTTTCTATGTATTGTGTGCGATTTTGTCCCATGTACATTTACTTCACATCCTTTTATTTTCTCTTATGAATACTGACCCATGTCACTCCTCAATGAAGGGTCTTGCTGGCATAAGTCCAATACCTCGAAAATGAAAATTAAAAAAAAATTAAAGGGAGCTTCCCCTAATGTTACTAAATGTTGTGCTAAAAAAAATTTTAAAATCTGTCGGAGTAAATTTTAGTTATCCTACGACATAGAAAGTGTAGATGGACGGATGAATAGACGTGCAGAGTGATTACTATAATAGGGCACCCGCCAAAAGTCGACAGGCCATAATAAAGACGTAGTGCTGGAGATTGTGGTCACGCATGATGATACGCTATTGGCGTTAGTTGCATTTCGTCACATATATACTTTTTTCTATATCGGATTTTATCCGAATGGCGAAGGATACCAGCGCGTGTGCAGAACATGCATACCTAGTTCTGTGCCTTAGAGGAAATGTCTAAAACACAACAGGTTAACGATAGCTGCAAAGGATGATTAATTACTAACATTCATTCGTCCATGCAGGTTAAAAAAAAACGTGAGGCATACGTCGTTCACATGAGAAAATTACCGAAACAAATATGGAAGATGCAGGTGAAACAGTGTAACAGTTTCACCCGACGAGAAGGATGAGGACGAGGAAGAGCTTATTAAAAACTGTTTAGTTATTAAATAGTTTACAATTGAATTGTTATATGATAACAAAGCTTTTAGTTTATGATTTTTTGATAACTAAAGAAAATAAGTGTTTGATTACCAAAGGAAATATTTAATGATTATGTGATTATGTTGGCAAAAATTTGGTGATTAGGCAATTACTGGTACCTCCCCATGAGGGGCCTCGTTTGTTTTTCGATTATTCACAGACGGATGGACAAACAGACAGACAGACGACTGGATGCACAAAGTCGTTGCTAAAAGTCTAAAGAGGTCTTTAAAACCAAAGTATTGTGAACAGATATATCATGTTAAGGAGGGGTATTTGCGAAAAATACCAGTCGAGAGAATGTTAAATTTCGCGAGCCGTAAGGCGAGGGAAATTCATTCTCAAGACTGGTATTTTTCGCAGATACCCCTCAAAAACATGCTATATCTGTTTATTTACACCGAATGTTAACGTTCAAAAACGCATTGATGATCGTGACGTTACAAACGTCCAGTCGGATAAAGTATTTTTGGCAAATACTACGGCAGAGAGGGTAAAAAAGGCATATCCTTTTTGCATATACCCCGGCGGCATTAAAAAATGAACGATATTCATTTGATAACAGTAAATTGGTGAAAAATACACTGGCTATCAACCAATCAAAACCCAGGATTCTTACATAAGGTGTAATTAGTTACATTATTTCTATCATGTTTTGAAAAGTTTTATAAAAAACATTTCTTTCAAAAGAATATTCGTGATATCAATAAGTTCATCTGCCTCTTCCGCAGTAAGAATGTCCAACTCTTTACCTCTTCTACTTGATTTTCTAGCAATAAACACAATGCTGCTGAATTCATTTTCCTTATCACTTTCAATAATTTTGCATAGTAGTGTTGATACATATTCATGTTTTGATAAACGCATTAATTTCATAGATAAATAGCCAATAAGTTTTTACATCATTGTCAAATAGCCACTCGTCTACGAGACATTGTTGCATTCGGGCGATTGTTTTCTATACATTTTATTGCATTCAGTTTGCTTTCGCAAAAAGTCCTTAACATGTAGACATTCTGTAAAGAAAGAGAAATAGATTGGCTTGCCATCCCGGGGATGACGTTTTCAGTTTTTGACCTATTGAAGATGTGTGCAAGTTGCCAACTGGAGTGAAAATCAGACTTGTAAACGCATTATGTTCGTAATATGCAAAATGAAAGCAAAACAAATAAACCCAAATCAACGCTTTATTGATATAAATGTATCGGATTGAAACTAATAATGCTAGATTATAAGAGAGTTAAGTTTATTTCCGTCATCATGGTATTGACATATGCACCACTGCACGTGTTAGTTGTTCAAAATATTGTGTGTCCGCATTTCGGCTATCATATTATTTTCGGTGGTGAAAATGCGGAAACTTGCTTATTCCTATTTTGTAATCCAAATTAAGACAAATCAGTAAAAATAATTAAAAGAAATGTTTCCTTGCATAAAATACGCAATGCCTATTGCTTTTCAGCACATAAATTGCCATTCTTACTTGAACAACTGTGTATTGAATGTGACACGCTTACTTTGGAATTTTTCAAAATTTTCCGGTTTCAAACTTGTTGACATAAGCTATTTATAGCATGCAATTTCAATCACATGACACAAAAGTAAATCGTAAGTAATGGACATGATAACCTTATTGCAACAAAATAGAGATTCAATAGTAAACAAAACACCTTATTTCTTATATCTATTTTATTTCAATTTTTCATAATTTTATTGAAAAGTGAGATATTCGTTTTCCGTCCGCATATCGGCGCTGTCCGCAATTAGGCGATTTTCCCCTAAGGTCTGCTAACTCAGGGAATACTGATCCGCACATAGACACGCCCAAGGTTTCATGGTAAAATTTATTGTTAAAAATAAATTCATAGTTTTCTAGAATAAGCCTTAATAGGCTTAGTCATACTCGCTTGGATCACGGTTTGTGGCTTCTAGTATTTCCTTAAATGAAAAACAAGTGTACATATTTTTTGCATCGAATGTTACTAGGTAGCAGTCTCGTTGGGGTTTTATATTTTCAATTGAATTAATAAAACTATAAGAAAAATATAGAACCGTGTCTCAATTTATATGTGGTCTACTCTAAGTCACAAAGACATTGATATTTACAAACATTTTCTAGTCTGAAATTGTAAGGTCTTCTAGTCATGCATATTACGTTATACAGTATGTTGTTTTAGTATCAATAAAGTTCAATTTGTTGTTTTTCTGTGTTTTCCTGTGTGTTAGATATATTTCAGGGATTTTCTCTAAAAAAAAAAAAAAAAGCCTACCTACCTACCCACTTCCAAAATGGTGGGTAGGGTAAGGGGAAACAAAGATATTTTTAATTGCGGCCTCATGGGTCGGGTTTGGGCAAACTGAAATATTTTTAATTGTGGCCTTAAACTATGTTTCAAAGTGCATTGGTCTTTAAGGATGTACCTAAGTGAAATTAAAAAAATCTAGAATCTAAAATTAATACCATAAGTCAAAAGAGCATTAGTTTTAAGATATTTAAATTTTTTTTAAATTGTGGGAAAAGGCTGACTCGGACTTTTACCTTATATATGCATTGGTATTATTTGGGTCTCAAATTGAAAGACAAGAAATCTAGAATCTGCTTAAAATTTGGTAAATGACCTTTTGCGAGCTGTTGAAGTCTTAAACCTGACCTAAGTACATCCTTAAAATAGATTAAATATTGCAGCAGGTGAGACTTTTTAGGGTGCAGCAATTTAATAAGGGAGTGTTTTTGAAGTATTTTAAACTTTGACATGATTTATGACTGTGAATGTGTTGTTATTTTATTATATAGAGACAGAACAGACTTTTAGAAGAAGCCACAAACCTGACACAACAAATGAGAAGGTAATGTATTTATATTCATGTATATGATATTTCACACAGATCAAGGTGCTTCAATAATGATATTTATATCCAATGCTACAAAGAAGCAGAAAGTAGATAGTTTTTGATATGTTTGTAGGTTGGTTTTGATAAATGTTACATGTAACTGAATGAAGTTTGATAGATGGTCACATTTGATTAGAGCAGTAGACTTGTTGATTTTGAGGCTAATACATTCCAGATCAAGGTCACAGCTACTGAAAATAGATAGAAATGAGTGCAGCATAGGGGTCTCCAAATGGTAAACCTAAAAAATATCAAATGTTACATGAGGCTTAGAAATATGGGAACATGTAATTAAAAGTCCATATTAATTTTAAGGTTAAAAACCTCTAAGGTGAAGGTCATAGATACAAAAAAATTGACTGAATAGTGCAGTAGAAGGTCTTCTTTATGAACACTGAAGAACATTACTTGGTATTGGAACCAGACTTAGACATATGGTCACATATGTTGAGAGGAATATTTGAGTGATAAATTTGCTCATCTAAATGTTATTATCTGCCTCGGTAAGACTAAGATGAGGCATATATGGAGAAATGAGAAAAATATAGAGTTTTTTTTACAGGGAAAAGGTCATGTAGTATGTTCAAATATTAATATAACCCATCATACTCATGGTATACTGCATTGGCCTTGTGCTGCTTGTGCATTCATTTGTCTGTCCAAAACTTTTTGTTAGATATAACTCGGTACAATTGTATTTGTATTAAGGAATTATTTTATATTTCGTTTGGAACTTTATGATGATGTTGTACTGTGCAAGCTATTTCAGATTTGCTAGGCAGCAACTTCCTATTGAACAATACTTTTTTATAATACTGAGCATGGAATTTTTTGTCACATATTTCACAGCTTCTATATTAAGGAATGATTTGACATTTGGTCTAAAATTGTATTATGATGAATTGTACTATGTAAGTAATTTTAACAGTAATATAAATAGTTTCTTACTATTTATCATTTTGCCTTCTGTCATCAACTCCTTGCATGAACTTATTTCCAAAAATAATTCACTTCATTAAAACCTCTTATGAGGAGGACAAACTTGTAATTGTACAGCTTAGCAGTTGTCTCCTGGAAATAAGTAAGGGAGGTGAAGTTCCTAATTCTTATCAGGTATACAAAAATCATACTGCTTAAACCCTCTCACTTCTCAAAGAGGGCAGATATACCTTAAATGGTTTACAACAAGTAAAGAAAATGTTATGATACCTTGTATATATATCAAAGATTTACATGTTTCATTGCAAACAGTTTGACAAATTTTTAATGACTTGTTAATTCATGAAAAAAAACATTGCATAATGTGGTCATTTGAGTCTGTGACCCATTTTATCACATCAACACTCATTTATCTTCCAGAAATTTAGATGGTGGTGATCTTAGTGATGATGATGTAACAATAGAAACACATGAAGAAACATCTGAAAGTAAAAAGTTATTGTGGGTGGAAAAGTATGCTCCATTTAAATATACTGATTTACTCAGTGAAGAAGTAAGTAATATGTGTAGTTTCAGTTAAAAAGAGACTGAAGATATCTAGGGGACATACAAAACAAAATGTCTAAGGGAAACTGACATTGTCATTGCAAAAAAAAAAGATGAAAAGACAAAGAAGTCTGCAAAACCCTACATAGAAGAACTAAGACTGAGCAACATGAATCACACCAATATACTTGGGGTGATATCATGTGCTCTAGAAGGGTAAGCAGATCCTGCTCCACATGTGACACTCATTGTGTCACTCGTATAAAGTATGTTGATAAGTAATGTTCCTATTTCTGTGTTGTGATTTGTGCAGTAATCGATGTAAATTCAGATTCATTGCCATGTTTTTATCATTGCACTTATTGTGACAGAATATGTTTAGCATAAGTAAAAACTCACATTTTAAATTTGACAACATTCTTTTTATCCAGCATTTCCTGAAATTGCAATAATTGATATCACATTTTTATCAATTGTTAAACCACCATAAAAATAAATGCATGCAATAATTTCTGAATCTACAGTAGCATGACATGTATCATCTTCAATCTTTATAGACAACAAGATTTATATTTATTTGAAATTCTGAAGAAAAAAATGCACAACAAAAGCTTGCTTTATCCTTTTTTTGTAAATTAGTTAAATTCCTCTGCTATCCTCATTTTGAAGTTTTGAAATACATGTATGTGTGTTTTATTCAATATGGGTAATGTTTTAAAGAATAATGGCTGCATAAGAAATTCCAAGCACCCTAAAAGGAGTTTTCACTCTTATATACATATTCATGCTTTTGCTTCTTGATTTTGTTACAGTCTATAAATAGAACATTATTACACTGGATAAAACTGTGGGACTTTGTTGTTTTTGGTAAAGACATGCCTATAAAAACTAAAGAAAAGAAGAAACCAGTCAAGGAAGTGAAAAAGAAGAAAAACCAAATTGAAGTGCTAGATGAGTTGGATAAACTTAACAGGCCAAAGCAAACCGTAAGATATAAATCAGAATCTAAAAATCTTGTTTTTTTTTATTAACAACAAAAAAAGAAAGGTACGCTTCAATTTATCTGAGACAATATTCCGTAGAAAAGTGAAAATATTATAAATTCATATCAAAAGTTTATATCAGTAATGTGCTAGACAAGTTCAGAAATAAGTTGTGATCAAATATTTTTAAAATGAGTTATGCCCCTTGGAAATATTAATTATATGGGAAATTGCATGCATTTGCTCTCATTTCTCTAACATATTTATGAAAAGTTTTAAAGAACGAAAACATTTTTTTTTAATTTGCCCTTGGACAGATAAAATATGTGCTATGATGGGGACATTGGAACTCTGTTCTTTTATTACAGTTAGTCCTATTGAATGGACCTCCAGGGTTAGGTAAAACAACATTAGCTCACACAGTAGCTAAACATGCTGGTTATAATGTGGTGGAAATCAATGCAAGGTATGGGCATTTCTATTTGTTTTGTAAGTGATAGAGCTAGGGAGGAAGTTCAGTTGTTGTAGCATTGCTTTTGAAAAAAGAAATATTAAGCTCAAGCAATAAGTAAAGAATACAAATGAATCTGTTTATCTTGTTGGATGAGTTGGACATGTCTGTTTGTGTAAAACTCACGGAACTTTCCCTACTTGATATCCTTTTAGAACACGCCTAGTGCGTTTTACCTATGAAGACACTTGGAAAAAATTAATAATTCACCTACATAAGGTTTAATGATCATAAAACAAAACAAATTTCCAAGTCCATTACCTGCGAATGACATATCATCAGTAGAAATTAGCTGCAGCTGATTGTGACTATAAGTGAACTGTTTTATGTCATGTTTATTTTTATTTCCTTAGTGATGACAGAAGTGCAGAGGTGTTTAAGAACAAAATTGAAGCAGCCACTCAGATGAAAGCTGTAATGGGAGCCGAGCCCAGACCTAATTGTCTGATTATTGATGAAATTGATGGTGCTCCACAAGTAAATTGTTAATCTTTTATAGACGCTCAATGCTTTTCAGATTTCATACAAAGCCAAACATATATATATATACTTGCTTCCTGCCTTCTGGGAAAAATTTTCAAAAATGACTTAACTTTGAAGGTATTTTAACCAAAAATTTTCATAAAAATAAATTTAGGTAGGCATTAAAATTTAAGGTAAAGACATAGAAGTTTAGGGTAGGTATTGAGGTAGAAACATAACTATATTTTGTTTGCCAGATTCTAATTGCAAAAGTGAAGATACTCTTTGCTAAGAATCCTAATTCTCATGTTTATATAATGCATTACCTATCAGCTTTAGACTAATATTAGCAATATTATAGCTCTAAGGTTTATATGAAATACAAAAGGAGAAACCAATAACATAATCTAATACAATATTAACAGATATTGGCTTATCCAAGTATCATGGTTGATGGTATTGATCAGGTATTTGAAGTTGGTAACAGATGTAAAAAAAGTTTCACAATATTTGTTGCCTTATATTTTACTGCCATGAATAAGTTTTACCCGTATTACACAGAAAGGAGTGCAATATGAGTAAGGGATACCACAAATACACCAATTTGGCCTATGCTGCAATGTGATATGAAATTGAGGCATTTGCATTGTCTGTTCGTAGGGTCAACAATGACTAGCAAAGGTCACAAAAGTCTACCTTTTCTCCATGGCAACTATTTGTTTACTTTCAGTTTTTGCAATGTCATCAGAACAAAGGGAGTTCTAATTGGCAAAACAATAAATTTTTCCAAACAATCTCAATGAGACTTTATAAACTAGGCCACACAAAGAGAATTTTTACCATAAGAGAAACAGGTATAATGCATGAGAATTGTTCATGCATTGATTTCTACAGAATTATAAATGGAAGGCAAAACACTAAAAACTGCTAGGCAATGTGTACAGACATTAAAACGTTTTACCTTTCTTTATAACTACTAATAATATGTTAGTAAGAACTTTCCTTGACATTTTATTTGGTATACTTAAGTACAGTGCAAAAGTCTTCTTTCTGAAGATATTTATGTCCACTCTATTACTTAATTGATTTAACCACATGGAGGAGATTTTATTATTGATAATTCACACAACTGAATTTAGAATATCAGCCCCAAAATCAAAACTTGATTGCATTTGCCCTAAAGGTAAGCTATATTTGTTTCAGTGCTCATATTTTGATTTTAATATTTTATTTTGTCAGCCTGCCATCAATATGTTGATTAATCTTACCAAGAAAATTGAAGAACAAGCAACAAAGAAAAAGAAAAAGGATGGTGGAGTATTGTTACGACCAATCATCTGTATTTGTAATGATCAGTAAGTTAAGACAAGTGTCAAGGAATGAATTGAAGTATATTGAAAGAAAAGGACTTGTCAAAGACCTCTCTCTCACTCACTAAATGAAACATCAACATGAATTATAGCTTATTATTTTTTATTATTTCTTAGTGGTGACTAGTCTTAGATAGACTGTTAAAACTTCTGGTTTGTCCACCTACCTCTTCTTACAGTCCATCAGCTATAATCATAACATTTTAAAGTTATTTGAACATACACCAACATTGTGCTTTTATGTTCCTGCGGAAATATGATGGAACCAATTTTTTGTTTGCATTAACAACCTGTTGTGTGGAGGCATACTTCATATAAGTTTATTCAAATATTGATAATAAAATATGTAACATTGCTGTGATTTACCAATTTTATAGTAAAACTTTTAAGATGAAGTATTCTGTTTCTTGTGAAATGTTTCAAGTTTTTACAATTATCTTTTCAGATATGTTCCAGCATTACGACAACTAAGACAAACTGCATTGATAATGAACTTCCCTCCTACAGAACCAGCCAGGCTTGCTGCTAGATTGTATGAGGTAATATTAAGAATGGCCAACGGTGTCAAAAGATATTTTTCATATTTTAACATTGACCAGTCACTCGCATATTATTTTTAGAAGCAAATAAGATATGATCCCGGACTGTGATGTATAAAATGATTTTATAGTTCTGATAGAAAAATTAGCCATTGCTTCCATGGCAAGAAATAGAGCCCTTATATTGTCTGAATATTCAGTAAATTTCTTGAGAATCATTAAACTTATTGAAGGCAGTTATTGGACGAAGGGTCCTTATGTTCTACTTATAATATTTTGGCATTTTTTTTATATAAACCTATTACACTGCTTATAAAATTATTTATGTAGAGCAACACAGAATATTTTGTTTCAGAAAAAAGCGACAAAGTAGCAAGGGTAGATGTTTACATTTTGTTTCAGAATTCTTCAGTATAGTTACATGGATTATATAAAGTCTTGAAAGAGAATGTGAGGTTTGTGTAGAAACTTGAATTATTAAGATAGTAAGAACTAACTGTTTTTAAAAGATTTAAATAACTTTATTAAGGACTTGATATTTGTTGATAGTTTATTGTAGATGTAAACTTACAGTGTGTAGCCAGTTTAGGTTACTCGTACCAGTGTTGTACATAGCTTGATATTTGTTCTTTTCTGTTTTAACTACTGAAGTTGAATGCTATTTCAGGTCATTAAACAAGAGCATATGAAGTCTGACATGACAACATTATTAGCTTTATGTGAAAAGACAGATAATGATATTAGGTCTTGTCTGAATACCTTACAGGTAAGAATATGATCAGGGCTATAAGAAATGTACTAGGCTGTCAGAAGGCACTTTGTATCTGATATGGCCTACATGGCCAGTGTAAGCTTATTTCACTTTGATTTAGTCAACAGGTTAAAGTTTTGGTTTTAGATATTTTACCATGAAGTTGTGTTCAGATCAATTTGAAACTTTGTACATATGTTCATTATGATGAAAACTTTTGAAAATGTATGCCAAATTAAGGCTATGACACAGATTTCATTGTTCACTGAAGACAAAAATGTATCAGGTTAAAGTTTTGGTTTAAATATAGTTAACCATGAAGTTGTGGTCACATCAACTTGAAACTAGTGCAAATATTTTCATTATGAAGTGAACTTTTTGAAATATATGCCAAATTAGGATTTTGACCAAGTGTTGAGTTCACTGAACAAGGAAATGTGATACTTTGAGCTGCGCATGGTGTCCTATGGACACATATTCTTGTCAAAAGTCTTCTTTAAAACAGCTGTGCCAATCAAATTTCAATCTTACTTATATTTATCTGCAAAAAAACCCACGTTATTAACAAACATAACATAACAGTGCAATACGAAAGGAAAATCAGTTAAATATCAAGTGCTTGCCAAAATCCTCTACAAAATTCCATGGAGAGCAATGCTTTAAATAGTGTCATAGTATTTTGTATGTGTCATGTGATTTCAACTGATACAAGTTTTAATGTTTAAGGATGCTGAATATATTTACTTTCATAATTGATTTTTGGAAACTGTATTTGAGGTATACCTTCTGTCATATACCTTTGCTATAGTAATTACATAATTGAATACATAAAGAAAAGTTTGATTTTCAAAGTAGCCTCACTATCAAAAGAGGTTTCTGATTTATATATAAAAGATATGTAGGTGTGTTACCTACAGTAAATAAACTCATCATATTATTACCTACAGTAATACATTGTATGTCATTGTTGATTAAATGATGTTTTGATTTTTGTGTTGCATAAATAAGGTATATCTGATGTCAATAGATTTACATTTCATCATAGTTTATTCAAAGAAAATGCAAAGAATTAACAGTGAAAATGGTGCAGCATGTAACAGTTGGACAGAAAGACACAAATAAAAGTTTGTTTTCTTTATGGTATGAAATATTTTCATTGCCAAGAGCTAAAAAGTAAGTATATACCGATGTTTCAAAATTTCAATAACATAGTCAACTCTACATATAATGTTAGGAGCCTCCCATTATTTTTTCAAGAATTTGCAAATGTCCATCTGAAGACCAGTCTCTTGCAAGGCTTCCAAAACGGTCATATATGCCGGACATTTGTATAATGTCCGGTAAAAGTCCGGCTGGGCAAAGCATGAAACGGTCATCTACTTTTTAGTTTTCAAGGCTTTAAGAGACGGTCATTTTAAACATAATTCGCAATCTTTTTTACCCAACGTTTTGCCTTTAACAGTCACACATTTCCGGTCATAAAAGTGACATGATCATTAAGTACTATCAAAACAACCCCTACTTTAATACATTCTCATTTTAATCAAGGCTAATTAGTTGTCGAACAGCTGAAATTTACCTGTTCAGGTGACAGGTAAACTATTTTGAACCGGACATTGATCAGTCTATTCAAAGTTATTTTCTTACATTTCAGCGGTTTGCATCTAATTAATTTAGTCAAAAAGATTTAAATTATCAGAAATACGTTAACTAATATGATTTGATCAAAAAATTAAAAAAGGTGAAAATGAAAAATCATCATAACCACGTTGTTTGAACTAGAGACATGTCTCTGTTAGAACTAGTACACGTGTGCGCATGTGCGCAGGTGTGAAATTTAATTATGCATCCTAATTTCTTCAAAAAATGCTTAAATTGTCATTGATACATTTATCTCACGTTTATTTCAAATATTTTCTTCAAGAAATAACGTAGAAAGAGCTACTTCCACTCATTCACGCGGAATTTACGTATCCGTCTCTGGTCCATGTTTTACCATTGTCAAGATAACATCCGGTATATTAGATTTAAAAACGAAAGTAAAGTTTTTGACAACTTTATTTTGCACAAATAAAGTCTAAGGCAGATATAAGTACGCTGATGTTGCATTCTTCAAATGATGCACTGCCAATTTAACAGTTTACGTCAGAACTTCGAATTTGAATCAAAGAAAGTTTAATATCGTTTTTTTTTTAATGTCAATATCATTGGGATGGCCAACTCTGCAACTGATTACCATAATGCCTTTTGTTTGTTTAGTCTTAAGGGATTAAAATCGGGATAATATATAAAATGTCCGGCTGGCTATAAATAATTTTGGAAGCCCTGGTCTCTTGACAGGGTGTCAAATCTCCAACTTTTGAGAAAAAAATCTCCCAACCTTTTTCAATGTAAACAAATGTTAATCCTGTAAAACTTGACAAATTATTGTCAAAACATTGTTAATTTGCACAATATGAAGTGCCTAAGCTACCTGTTCTTTTAACTTTTAATCATTTGAGTCATTTGAATGTTGATTGTAAAAATATTTTACACATTAATAATTTAACTGCAAAAAGTACTATAAAATGTTAATAAAAACAATGTGAAGTAGGCTTTATGACAAATCTTTCTTTTGAAACCCCCAAGGAGACTTTCCACTTGAGAAGTTTGGAAGGTTGACACCTATGAATAAGTTAGTGTACATTGAATATTGAAAAAAAATGTTACTTCAATTTTTATTTTTATTTAAAAAAAAACATATCTTTGAGATATCTGGTTTTTAGTTATTCTTGTGAGAATATTCTTATTTAGAATAAATAGATTCTTGAAAAATAAAAACCATTGAAAAAAAAAAAACTTCAAAAAATAAATCTCAACTATAAACTCAAAAATCAATACATAAAAGACATGCATAATTGGTAAAATTAATCATAGAAGAGAAAAGGCAAGTTTTTACTTTCTTTCTATAATGCTACTATTTAGACAGAAATACAGAGCTCTGTAAACAACAATGTAGCAATATCATTACATGAAACAAAAATATTATATGATGTACTTGTTGAATATCAAATCTTTTGCATTTAGCATTCCTGTAATGTTACAAAAATAGTGAAATGTTTTTTTTTTCAGAAACAAATTTATAACTATACAAGATATAAAGAATAATGAAGTTCAAGTAAATAATCAATCATTACCTGCAAGGTAAGTATATATTATATGATTACGTACAATAAGTCCCTGAGTGTCAAGGGCCTTCGAGTTGTAGGAAAACGTTGAATAGAAATAGATTCTTCACTTTGATGATGCTCAAAGGGATTTGTAGAATTTTAAGAAACACACCAAAAATTGTCATTTGACTTTTTTTCAATAACTTTGATCTTTTATGGGTCATCCAAGAACCCTTCTCTTAACAGGTTATTCAATAATCCTGATTGCATAAGACTAACCAATCAGCAAATAATTATGATCTTATTAGAAGATACTGCTTTAATAAATAAGAGAAAGGACCTCTCTTGACAACTTCATAGAGTATTTAAGGCTTGGAGGGGGGGACTTTATTATTATTATGGTTTGAAGGGTATTTCTTCTTTTAGGCTGGAAAAGATTATAAACAAATATGCATGGGGGATCTTCATATTAGTCTGCCAATCATTATCACCTCCTCTCCTCCTTTACTGGCTATGAGGATAATATTGTCCCACCGAGGCAAAGCGGAGGTAAATAGTTGGTGTCCAGGGGGACAATTAAATAGCCAGTTAATAAGTGTTTTATTATACAAAAAGTACAGGAAAATTTTTGCATCCAGTAAATAGTTCATACCCAGTAAATAGTTTTCAAAGCTATTAACCAATAATAAATAGTCTTTCAGACAATTTCGTGAAAATAGTAAATTTATTTGTCGATAATTTTATAAAGAAAATACAAACTGAGGTATAATAATTTATGGTATCACCTTAATATGTTTTTAGCTGAAAGATGATTATATTTTTTACACTTCAAAATAAGAGTCTACCTTTCACAAAAGTTTTTACCATACCTATTTACATATACACATTAATCTTGTCTAATTCTAAGATGATTACTTTTCAGATTTAATAATATTTTACATTCAACATATGCTGCTGGAGAATATGACAGAGTAATACAAGGATTGTTTGAAAACTATTGTGAATGTAAATATAAAGATCCTAAAATGGATGGAGTAAGTACATTGAAGACATGAATAAAAAATTAGTGTGAAATTATGAAAATCTCCACCTAAAGGTTTACAAATAGTAAAGAACTAATAATGTTATCAAATGTATAAGGCCGCTACTTAAAAAAAAGAGAAAAATCACTTTGTTTGTCTTAAGGTAGCATTTATAAGAGCAAGTGTGGGTTTGATCCCAAGCTTATTGCTTCTTTGATGGCAGGTTTTTAAGAGTAAGAGGAAACATCTGTCAGATCTGAGTCAGAATAATGTGTTAAGAAATGATGACATGTCATCATGCTTGTTTTTACCTTATGAGTTTATACCTATTTTAAGTAAGTCAAGTATATTTGGTCTAGAATTATTGTACATGTGTCTATCAAATAACACCTGACCTTGACCTCATTTGTGTGGTTCATCTCTCAATGTTACATTACAGTGTTTGATAAAGTCAGTTTCTTTATAGAAAAAAATACTATTTAAGTTTTGAAATCATTATAGAAAGTGCATTGTCTTCATTTGTACTCAGTTAAGAGTTCATTGACATATAAACTAATACATATATATATTGCAGTATGCCAAGTTGAAGACCGTACTGTGACCTATAATGGTTTACTTTTATAAATTTTTACTTGGATGGAGAGTTGTCTCATTGGCACTCATACCACATCTTCTTATATCTACAGACTGTGTGTCAACCTATCCGTCTCTTTATGTGATGTACATGAATGTTTGATCAGTATTTTATATATTATACAGCTCCAAAACATTTTAATTTTCAGGTTTTTAAGGAATGTCATTAATTTTTGTGTATTTAATTTTGTATTATTATTATTTTTCAGTTAAATTTTGCTATGGATTGGTTAACGTTTGTTGATTCAGTAAACCAGTATACCATGCATATACAAGACTATAGCTTAATGGGATATGTACCGTATATAGCTGTGACATTTCATCTTATATTTGCTGCCAATCAGCCTCCTCGAATTCAATATCCCCACAGTCAGTATGAAGTAAGTTCTTGTACATTTTTAACAACAGAAAAGATTTAAAAAAGAGGATATACTCATCAAATAAAGTTCTGAAAAATAAATTTAAGTAAAATTAAAGGGTCAAATCATAAAAGCTTTCATTACCTGCAAAATGCTAGGAAGTAACCTTGCACAAAGTAGCTTTTCACTTTAAAAAAAATGAAAGGCAAATATGTGGAAATTAGAGAATGTGTATTGCTTATATTTATTTCAAAGAACCTTCATTGTTTACTAGAAACATGTATTATGTATAATTTTGGTATAGCATATTTGTAAATGATGTACATAGACGGAAAATTTGGAAACCCATCAAATACACTAACAACAGAGGTTACTCAACGGGCATCAATATATTCCAGTATAATTTTTCGTATAAACTACTGTGAATCAGTGATCATTAAAAAAGATATTTTATATCTATTAGATTTAGAACAGGTTAATTGTATAATGTTATCTAAAGTTCTATAAGTGAGTATTAATATATGAATTTGGCTTCAGCATCAAAAAGGGTTGAGGTTCTAAAAAACAATGAAATAAACAAAATGTATTAAGAAATGTGGACCTAGAAAAGTGTGCTAGTAGTTTCAGTGGATAATAATTTATGATATATCTTTATTGTAGGCCTTGACCAAACATAACAAGTTTACCAATCTGATAAGCTCCTTGATGTCAGATATGTCACCTTCAGTACGAAAATATCTTAATACAGCCTCAGTGACAATGGAAGTGTTACCTCCTCTGATGGACATTATACAGCCAAACTTCCGGCCTGTAAACACACAGTTGTACAGTACACGAGAGAAGGAGGAAATGGCTCAGTTGATTCGTATAATGATTGCCTACAATATGACATATCATCAGGAGAAGACAATTGATGGACAGTTCTCTTATGTATTAGATCCGTAAGTTTTATTAATTTGCTGAGTACCTGTTAATGAAAATATACATTATAAATTCATTTGTTTGAACAAATATTTTAAAGGAATGTGTAACTTTGAAGTGATATTTGATTTGTCTTACGTCTGCTGTAAAGATTGACCAGTAATTTCTTTCAAGAGGTTGTTTCTGAGAAATTATTTTTATAAGTCACAGTATAGGGTAAAATCTGAAATATTGTATGAAAGTTGAGGTTGCTTTTAAAGGACTTCATCAAAGTTATGTATTTGCATTGCTGTAAGAAGGATAAGTTGTCTAAAAGGTTTTTTATTTTCATGATTTGATGTTCAACAATGGTCTGTAAAATTGAATTTAGGTATTCCATACATTTTTGGGGTATTTAAGAGAGATAAACAGCTGAAAAAAGGAAAATATCTGGCAGGCTGAGCCTATTATCACATTGAAGTAGTGGATCATTTTTGACAGGCTAGCTTTAAGGTAACTTTCAGCAAATAGGCATATCAGCCAAATCCAAAGCATTATTGTGACTCAAATCTTATCAGTCTTTGCTCTGCATGCTTCACTCATTAGAGGAGAAGCAGCAAACATCAGTTTTAAAGTATATGAGTTGAACTAGTTGTAACCTTCCACACTGGAAGTGAATAGGCTGCCATGAGATTACCAAGGCAGTAAAAAGGTAGTCTGAAACATGAAAACATTCCTAATGAATTAAAAAACAAAAATGAATTTTTTAAATCCTTTCAGAAATTTTCTTAATACATGAAGCTGACAATGAGTATTTAAGGATGTTGACTTCTACTTTCAGCCATGTAGATGAAGTTGTACGTTTCACTGGTATGAAACAACACAAACAGTTGACATATGCTGCTAAACAGTTGGTTGCAAGAGAGGTAACTATTGTTTTATATATATCAAAGTGTGTTTAGAAATGCATAATTCATTTTATGTGGATTATAATAATAATATTATCCTCAGATTTTGTCCATTCATCTTTCATGAGCATACTGTCTGATTTTGATTGGTTAGTTGCTCCTTGAGATCAAACAACAATTATAACAGGTTAATTATATGTTAATGGCATAGGAATATACCCAGCTTTGTTTAAACTTTTGAGCAAGATTTATAGTGCCTGCTCATTAAGTAACATTCCATTAATCTAGGACACACTTTTCTGCCTCAGAGCAAAGCTGTCTTTGCTTTCTTCTAAATTTTGCCATCTTAGAAGCAGATCATAATATTTTAAAGTATTTATTTTGATTTGGCCAACATTTGAACTGTCAGTTTGTGGTTAAGTCAGTTTTAAGAGAACCATTTAAAGTGATTCTAATTTTACTTAGTTTAAATGTCAGTTAAAGAGTAACTACCAACTGTAAGTCAATGGTATTTGGTATGAAGATGTATTAGCATTGGCACATCTCATATCTATGGAGATTTTTTGGCCCCACACCCTCAGTCATGATCATTGACTTTCATGTTGTATTAGCATTGGCACATCTCATATCTATGGAGATTTTTTGGCCCCACACCCTCAGTCATGGATCATTGACTTTCATGTTTTACATACTTTACAGGTTAAATTAAAATAAGGATATTTAGTATACAGTTGTATTAGTATTGGCGGGGCCTTGGTGGCCGAGTGGTCTAAGTAGTTACTACTGTAATCACTAGCCAGTCAACATCGAGGTTGTGAGTTCGAACCTCGCTCGTGCGGGTGCACTCTACTCCAATCTTAGTTGACTAAGATTGTCAGTTTTCCTATCCAAGGTCGGTGGTTTTCTCTGGGCACTCTGGCTTCCTCCACCAATAAAATCTGGCCGCTACGAAATAGCCCAAAAGCGGTGCTTAAAAGTGGCGTTAAAACACCAAAAATCAAAAATCAAATATTAGCGTTGGCATATCTTATTTCCAAGGAAATTATTTTGCCTGACATCTTCAGTCATGGTTCATTAACTTTGAATTTTGAATGTTTTGCTTAGTTTATACATATTAAAATGATGGCATTTTATAATCTCAAGATATGCATTTTACAATCAAAATTATATACAGGTGAGACATAGCTCTGTGTCAATAGTTTATTTATTTATATTTACAGATTGAAATGGAAAAAATGAGAAGAAATGACAAAAATTTTACTACCAGGTAGGATTGATAAATCTTTTTCATTTAGAAATATCCGGTATAAAGTACGGTTTATTTCTGAAGGCTGTTCCATTTAAACATACATTTTACTCAGGGAAGGCATTTGCCAAACAGAGTAACCACCTATAGAGGCAAATATATAATTGTTAATGTTGTTTATTTATTGGTTATTGATACAACAGAATGGTCAGAATATTTCATGATAACCAATAATTCCTGTAGAGATGTTTATTTAAGAACCTTTCAATACAAATTTTTGCATAGAATCATAGCAACTAATACTTTCTGGTACAAAATTAAATAAAAAAATACCAAGTTATGTACTTTTTTTGTAAACTTGGCGATGAAACCATTGAACACCTTTTTTTTGAATGCCCATGCCAATAACTTTTCAATTGTGGCAGTCTTTTTCAAATATTGCAAATCTTTATTGTAAACTTTGTTCTCAACAAAGAGAATGTGTAAACATGAAAGTTTATGAATGAATCTGTTGGTCATAATTACAAAGAATTATATATATAAATGTACATTAAATGAAACAAAACCAAATATGGTTGAGTTAAAGAAGAAATAAAAAAATACCAATTTTTGAACATCATATTGCAAAGAAAAATAAGTTCAAATTTGTTTAAAATTTTGGTCTCCTTTACATGTAATATTTAACTAAATATTGTTTCATATTATCTATTTTTAGCTCACAGGGCCCGAAGGGACCCATGTGAGCTTATGCCATCACTTGGCGTCAGTCATGGTAAACTATTTCAAGAATCTTCTCCTCTGAAACTACTTGGCCAAATACCTTCAAACTGAATGTTCCTGAGGGTATCTAGTTTATAAATTGTATCAGAAGTTTTGATCCATCAACAAACATGGCCGCCATGGCTAAAAATAGAACATAGGGGTCAAATGCAATTTTTGGCCAATATCTCAAAAACTAAAGCATTTAGAGCTAATCTGACAGGGAAAAATGTTCAATAGGCCAAGATCTATCAGCCCTGAAATTTGCAGATGAAACGAACAACCCATTATTGGGTTGCTGCCACTAAATTGGTAATTTTAAGGAAATTTTGCAGTTTTTGGTTATTATCTTGAATATTATTGAAGATAAAGATAAACTGTAAACGGCAAAAATGTTCAGCAAAGTAAGATCTACAAAAAAGTTTTTATATGACCAAAATTGTCAATTGACCCCTTAAGGAGTTATTGCCCTTTAAAGACAATTTTACACAATTTGTTCATCATGTTTGCTAACATTTAAAAATCTTCTCCTTTGAAACTACTGGGCCTAATACTTCTAAACTTTAACTGAATGTTCCTTAGGGTAACTCGTTTATAACTTGTATCCGAAGTTTTATCCATAAACAAACATGGCCGCCATGACTAAAAATAGAACATAGGTGTTAAATGCAGTTTTTGGCTTTTATCTCAAAAACTATAGCAGTTAGAGTAAAAGTGACATGGAGTTAAAGTGATGAATAAGTCAAAATCTATCTGCTATGAAATTTTCAGACTAATTGGACCACCCATTGTAGGGTTACTGTCCGAAATAGTTTATTTTTATGAAATTTTACTGTTTTTGGTTATTATCTTTAATATTATAATAGATAGAGAAAAAGTGTAAATGTTAAAAAAGTTCAGCTAAGTAGGATCTACAAATAAGTCAACATGATCAAAATAGTCATTTCACCCCTTAAGGAGTTATTGCCCTTAAAACGTTTTTTTTTTTATATTTTTTGTGAAGGTCTAATTACTTTTATAAAAATCTTCTTCTCTGAAACTACTTGGTCAAATACTTAAAAACTTTAATTGAATGTTTTTAGGGTATCTAGTTTATAGATTGTATATTCGAGGATATGATCCATTCAAAAACATGGCAGCAGTTTCTCAAAATAGAACATGGGGTCAAATGAAGTTTTTGGCTTTCATCTCAAAAACTAAAGCAGTAAGAGCAAAACTGACATAGGTGAAAGTGTTAAACAGGTTTAGATCTACCTGTCAAGTAATCTTCATACCAATAGGACAACTTATTACTGGGTTACTGTCCAGAAATAGTTAATTTTTCAGAAATTTTACAGTTTTGGGTTATGTATTATCTTTAATATTATTATAGAAAGAGAGAAAGTGTAAATGACAAAATTGTTTAGCAAAGTAAGATCTGCAAATAAGTCCAATGCCTGAAACTGAAATTACAGGTGAGCGATGTCAGGCTCTCATGAGCCTCGTGTTTAGTTAAGTGAAAACAAAATAGATGTATACTATGAGCAAATTTATGCTTGTCTTTAAAAAGTAAGTCAAGATACATATTGTAGCAAGACAGATGAGTGAAAAGTATTTGTATTGTATAAGAGAAAGTTAGAGAGAGAGATTTATCTAATAAAAGGAGTAGGCCCATTAAGACCCCTTTTAGGCCCCAAACTATAGCGTTAGTCAGCGATATATTGTATACTACATTATTTTCTAAATTTAACCCCTAAATACCCCTGTCAGGTGGTAATTTAGGGGGTATGTAAGATCCTGACTTTTTAAAAAAAAATAAAAGATAAAAAAAAATTTATAATTTCCCATAAAATTTCACTGTACTTGACACCCACCCCTAGTTGATATTTTAAAGTGTCTTCCCTTGGTCCCATGTATTTTTGGAAGGAACCGGAGTGAAAGATTTGGTTAAGTTACTAGTAAGCTAATTTTCAATTCAAAACAATTCTTTTTGCTTGATCTTTTTTTTGCATAACCAGGAATATGGAAAGGAAATATAGTTTTCTTCTTTTCTGTCTATTTACCCTGATTGGTTTCATTATCCCCTCAACAAATGAATCTAGGAAGGGGATTTAGCTTTTCATTCATTCAATCATTCTTATAGTATGTTCAAGTTAAGTTTAAGCGGTAAAATGCAAAGCATTTTCAGATGATCAATTTTCAGTGGAACTTACCATTTTAATTTCTTTTGACTTTCTTTTTATGTCTGGATTATGTCACATCACTTAAGTACATCTTATACCATGTTACCATATTTAAAGAAGACATCACTTCAAAGACAGAATAATGATTAATTATGCAGTGTCTTCTACCAAAGTTTAGTGCAAAACTAGGCCTCAGATCTCTGTGAGCATAGAGACACTATTATTTTCATTTGTTCATAACTATGCATAAACTAAAACGTGGTTTTTATTCAAACAAAAAAAAATTTCCTCATTAATTAGCAATTAAAGTAATGTTAAAAAGCCTTAAACCACAAAACACTGAAACAAAAATATGTCCTGCTAGGTTGATTTTCACTGGGTATCTTCTAAAGTGTAAGTATTTTACCCTGCCTCCAAAGGAGTGAGGTATACTAGTTTACCTCTGTACATCTTATGTGCTTGCATACCTTTAAAAGGAATAGTGGGAAAGTTTTGTCACAAAATGAATGACAGAGGGATATTTATCTGAGAAAAGCAGTAAATTTTTGCTGAAATAATGTTAAATATTGATACTTTAAAACTCTAATCTTACAAACACTTTCATATAAAATTACTTTTGTAATTATTTGTTTATTGATGGTGGTTAGATTTTAAATTTATTTCTCAAATTTGTGTTGACTATTTTCAGTTCAACACCAGCTAAAAAAGTAGAGAATAAAAGTAATGCTGATGAGAAGAAAGGACCAGTAATTCCTAATCATAAACAGAAACTACAGGCTATCTCTTTAAACCCAGATCAAATGGTAATATTCACTTTATAATTTCTGTAGAAGAGATCAATATGAATAGGATAATTTGTGTCTCATCTGCAAGGTATTTGAGACTTGGGTTTTGACCAGGTTAACAAATTTCAGTTACTGAAATATTTACCTCCTCAATCCCAATTGTTATCCAAGCTTACAAAAGTGTGTACCTGATTGTTCCTAGTGAAACCATGTCAGCTGATCTTGACCTCATTTTCACACTCCAGTTCATGGTTCAGGGTTTGATTTGTTCCTTTGTAACTATACATGAAAAGTCAATATTTTTATATGTGGATATGTTTTGAGGACTATATGTCTGTGTGACTTATATCAAATGGCAATAACCTCCTTTTCACGCTTAAGTGATCTCAATACATCTCCAGGATCTGGTCTGTTTCTCAGTAACTACATCTGATCAGTCAACAATATTCGGTACATTTATGTATGAGTGTAAGGAGTTTATGTCTGTCAAATGTAAATCATTTGGCCCTTACTTTATTTTCACACTCTAGTGGTTATGTTAAGTTTTCAGAATTCAGTCTATTCCTTACCAACTGTATATGACAGGTGAACAATATTAGATAAGTGGATTTGTTTTTATGGCCCCACAACAAAGTTGTCAAGTTTACGTTTAGTCCCGCTCTGCTGATTTTTGCTGAAATAATGAGCTTTGGACTTTGAACATTTTGTGAAAATAGCAGTTATACAGACTTTTTTTTCTAAACACATTCACATATTGAGCTGAATTTTAGTATATGAGTCTATTATGATGAGTTACAAATCTAGTTTACGTATGGTTCTGCTCCATTGATTTTTTGCTGAAATTACGGGCTTTGGACTTTAAAAATTTCGTGAAAATAACAGTTAAACAGACTTTCTTTCTCAAATTTTCACTCCTAAAAATGGCTTCAAGCTGTTTTTGCGAGCAGGGCCATTCGTGTCATTCTGACACATCTAGTTAGGGATATATGTCTGTCTGACATATGAATTGGCCTTGACCTCATTTTTGTTGTTTCATTGGACATGTTTAAGATTTTGCTGAGAACTTAACCCCAGGAATTATACATGATGTGTTGATAGTATGTTGTATGTGAATGTTACTTTTATGAATGATAATTGTTATTCAATGGTCAATAGCATTATAACATCTCATTTCATTAAAGTTTTATATGTATCCCTGCCCCTCAGTCATGGTTCATTGACTTGAAATCTGCATATCTTTTGCATGTCAGAGTTCTTGGTAGAAATATGTATTAAAGAATTTTGATAGTAAATTAAGGAGTAAAAAACAAGTGACATAGAACATAAGTACTCTTCACTTAAAACATCCATTATATTGCGTTTTGTGTGTTTTTCTTTCACTTTGCAAGCAAGCAGATAGAACAGTTCTATGTTAACACATTGTACATGTGTAAGAAAATGGAAATTGCACAACATTAGATCCTCAATCTAGCCAATAGTTTTTATTATTTCATGCAGGTGCAAAAGGATTTCTTCGGTAGGATTATAAAACAGAAGACACAAGATTCACAGAATTCAACACAGAAAGGTAAATTTGAAAAGTATAATATAGATTACACTTTTATTGAGTATATCAGTTTAGGTGCACTTAGATTAAAAATAATTTCCTTAAAGAGTTAATAGTATATAGAGTTAAAATTCTGTTTTAAAAAAAATTCACCATACTTATTTTAGAGAAATATGGGATTCAAAATTTATATAGAGCAAAAATCATTAATTGGCTGATAAAATAAAACCCATAATGAAACAACCTTCTTTCAATATTCATAAGATCAAAAATAGAGTGTAGGATTAGATATGGAAATCACAAAAAGTTTTGTTTCAAAATAATAGTTTTTTTTTTCATGTAATATTACAAATATATTACGAAAAAGGATCAACAAACCTGATTGTGAGACAGTATGGTGACTTGTTGATTTTTTATTTTTGTTAAACTTTTGTTGCTAAGTTGTGGTCTTATAGATTTTAACCCAGAATGTTCCTTTTTATTTATAAAACCAAGCTACTTTTTTTTAAAACAAGTAATACATTAATTAATATTTTTGCAGAAGAAAAGAAGAAAAATGTGCTCAACACTGATATATGGTTCCACTTTAAAGGAGGGTTTTCCAATGCAGTCCGAAGGAATGTTCGAGTTCAAGACCTTATTTAAACTATAACTGACCAATTGATATTTATAAATGTGTTCAGATATTTATAGGTGTGTCCTGGTGTTCCATATAAATAGTATACATTCTAGTCTAAGGAAAAGTACTTTCCTCAGTGACATTATATATTCTTCATGTGTGATCGAAAACAATTTTCTTGTTTTCAAGACTTGAATTGACTTTTATTTTGTAATTTTATTGAAATATTTACATCTGTGCTTTGTACTATAAAGTAAAGTACATCAAATATCATACTTGTAGTTCCTTGTCTATTTAAACATGGAAGAGTCATTTACATACACTAAAGAGATGATTTATTGGTTGTGTAAAAGCTATATGTTAATTTAGATTCCACTAGATAACTTGGTCTATAAACAGCATAAATAACTTCTTTAGTGCTTGCATTAACAGCAAGATTTATTCCCCTTTCAATGTATAAAAAAACACACTGAAAGCTTGGGCTATTATAAGAATTAACCTGTATGTGTGTCAGAAAAAAAGGTGCTGATCCCAATAAAATACTGAATATGCAAATTAAAAAAAAATTAAAAGAGGTAGAAGATACCAAAGGAACGTGTTAAATTTTGCTTAAGATTGTCTTTTTTAAATTAAATAAACTCTATTCAATTTTCAAGAAATTCTACAGAGAAGTCAAGTTGGACCAAGTAGACTTTAAGTTTTAAGATACATCAATATAGGAAAATGATGAAATTTTTACAAAATAATATAGGTTTGCCATGTTTCCTTTGAAGGACAGATAAAGAAATGCTGATCAAGATGAGCTAGTTAAAATGGGTCAAAGACTATAAATTATTGCAGCTGACAAGAAAAATTTACAAAATAAATTAAAGAATTATTCTTACATTTTCATATGCTCCTTACACAAAAACTGTTTCAACAGATTATGAGGATGAACAACTGAAATGGACACTACATAAGTTTTACTGACACCATCCCAAATTAGTTGACTGATATGATGTGTCTGTGTTTCCACTCACTTATGAAATGTTTTCGAAGTCAGATCTTTGAATAACAGAAAAGTCGTCTGATCTGTAATTTTACAGATCCTGTCCTATTTCCATTCCTGATATTTTGACTGAGTGTGGATTCTCATGACAAGCGATGCACCCATAGCAGGAGACACTTACCCTGTCAACACATACTATCTTTCACCTTTAGGATTCCATGTGATTCCCTCAGTGTTTGTTTGAGATGTGATACAATTGCCAATGAGACCACTATCAACTAGAGAAATGAAGTTGATGTAAGCAATTATAGGCAACTCAGGCCTCTACAATAACTTTTTTTTTCAAATTGCCCAATAGGACAAGTCCATATCAAAACTTACTTGTCCGAATGGATTTGTAACTTGTCCAAAAAATAAACCTTTATATTAACCTTTTTTGCATATTAGGTTGATTCAATGAACAAAATTAATTAAAACTATAGAACAGAATTTGATTTCAATCTCTAGATATCCTTTTCAAAAATATGAGCAGAGAACAACTGAATCTAGTCATTCCTAGTCATAGGACATGTAGGACTTAGGTTCTAGTTTTAATCAATGCCAAAGTCTCATCAGACTCTGCACATGAGGCACAGTCTAGTAGGCCTGTCAGTCTACACTCATTTGGTTTGTATCATGGTTTTTTATGTTGATAAAATACAGATTATTATGATTAATGCCTTACTAAAATTATGATTAATGCCTCACTACAATTATGATTAATGCCTTACTACAATCAGCTTTGTTTTTAATATATTAAAATGTTTATTCAAACACAATCAAATATTGTTTGTCTAAATATGATCAAAATATGATTTCTGAATTCTATGGTCAATAATTTCTTCATTTTTATTTTTAAAATATTTTTGTTAAAAAAAATTTATCATATATTTATTATAAAGCAACAGAATAACTAGGTTAACGAGGTACTGGTTGTCTTGGTCCCGAAATGTCTCCAACAGTGCTGAACTGTCTGTTAAACATGGAGCCGATTCATTTCCATGCCGGTGCCCAACTGTCTTGTTACCTTATATATAAAGTCACTGCTAATTCCAATTGGTAAGACTGGTTTCCGAGAATAGTATGCTTTTTATCTGTTATAAAGTATCTGACCAAAGAACCAGTTTTAAATTATCGATAGCATGTAAACTTGTTAAATTAATATTTGTTTTTATCTACTTTTCATGTTTTTTGTTTATTACTTTGATCATCAAAGTTGGATTTAATTTATTTTCTAAAGAATGATTTTACTTGTCCAGTTGGACAAGCTTGATATGGCTCTTACTTGTCCGACCTTTTTTTCCTCTGGTACCGGACAATCAGGACAAGCGTTATTGTCGAGCCCTGCAACTGGATGGCCCTGAACAATGAGAAAAACCCATACCGTATAGATGGCTGTAAAAGGGCCTGACACTACAAATGTTAAACAATTCAAACGAGAAAAATCAACGGCCTAATTTATAACAAAACATTGATTTGTCTCTTCTTAATTGATTTGCGAGATTTGAACATTGGTAAACTCATGTCGCCTTAATTATTGGTTACATTTATTATTCCTACATTATTATGAAGACCATTGTAAAGGTATCATAGGCCAGTACTTGACAGACCATCAACTTCCAGCATAATTTGTGCCACTTTTTTTTTAAAGTTTAATAAGTCAACTGATTCATATGACATCAGCTAATAACACAAAAAACCTTGTAATTAAGTGTTGACAAAGATCTAATAAACATTGAAATTAACCAATAAAGTTTCCTTAATCTGGAAAAAACTGTTCCAACCCTAATATATCAGTCATAATGATAACAAATCTAGTAATGTATGATGATGTATTTTTTTCATTGCAACCAAAATTTAGAAAGCATTATATTAAAACAAATATCTGGAAGTACCATACATTACACACAACAATTAATTTATATAGAATTTTCGTTTTATTTCAAATTAAATGAAATGCTGTGTTAACACAAAGTAATAAATATACAATATGGATTTCACAAAACATAATTATTTACAAGAAATTTTAGCCCAAATGAAGAAGATCTAATTTAAAAATTATTTAATTAAGTGTCAAATTAATCATAACCACCTACACAATTTTAACCCTCGCCCTTTTGTCCAGGAAAAATACTCAGGTGTGCCTCTTGTTTTAGATGAATTGTTAAACTTTCAAAATACATTTCTCATAACTATTGATTGATTGTGTCTTGCTTAATTCCAGTGGCAGATATTTCATGCATATTCAGGACTAAAACAAATTAACAATTAAAGAACCTTTAGTAAGCAAGCTCAGATTATTAACTTATCATGACCTTGACCTCAGATAAAGTGGCCTCAAAATCAACTGAGATCTATGTAAGGTTTCAATCCAATATGTTATATTTGATAAAGCATCTGAAAAACCCTTTTCTGCACAAAGTGCAATCAATTTTCAGTAACTACGATCTTTGACCTTTTGACATGGAGACCTCAAATCCAATAAGGATCTTTCTCTCATTATCTGTGAATATATATCCCAGTAAGGTTGCAATCTGGTATAAAAAATCAAGTGAACCTCTGGAAGAGAAACTGACTAACTGACACAGACAGACAGATGGACGGTCGGACTGACAGGCAGGTAAAAATCTTCATAGCATGGGGAATAATTCATACCATAGCTAAGTATAAGTATGCATGGTAAGTAGATTTATAATAAGAAGAATAGCAGGGAATGTCACTTGAAAATGATGGATATTGGATAGAGACTTGTGCGGGTTTTTTAGCGTACAGAAAGTGTGGCATTTACTCTACTTGAGGCATGGAATTTATTATACTTTTTAGCCAAAGATTATGACTTAAAGGTGCAATATTGAATATGGAAAAAGTGGTCAAAGAAGCATGAAAAATTCAAAATTTTTGTGAAAATCTTTTCTTATTTAAGTTTGTATGTAAGCCTAAGTCTAAAAAAAAACTTTGATATGTTGCTCCATATTCAACTGAACACTGTTTTCAATATTCAGTATATTGTTTTGACATAAGAAGTATACAAAGAAGAAAAATCATTCCATTCTTCATTGAATTAAAGATCACATACTTAACGCTACTTGAAAAACATTTTATCTCTACATGTCTTTTGTATGGTGTTTTGTATAAAAATTGATAACTATGGTATACTTTCAGTTAATTTGGAGTAGCTTATTGATACAACATAATTTTCATTTTTCAAAAATCAAGAATGTAGTTTCAGTCTTGTAATTGACAGCTTCTTTACCAAGCCTATATGCATAACTGCCAATCTTTAAAAAAAAACACAAAGACATTTTTCTCCATTCAGATTCAATTTTCAGCATAAATTTTAAATCAAACAGAAAAAAAATACTGCAGAAAAATATTAGAACATTTTTATTTAATTTGTTAAGTGTTTCATCCCCTTTTCAGCAACCTTGGCTTTATCATGAGGGCCAGTTGTTATTGATGGAGGAAGGAGTACCAGGAGAGAACACCAACCCTCGGCATGAAAACTGGCACTTTTTCTTGACCAAGATTTGAGTCGAACCCTCGCCCTGACCAGGCTTCAAACTCACATCAAAGTTATACCCTTACAAGACTGGTACCATCAGATTTAAATTGAGTTGAAACAAATTAGTCAATAGCTTTTATATGAACAAAGCAAAATTGTTAAAATACAAGCTCAGCAGTTGATTACAACTGACCTAATATCTAAGGTGTATTATGAATACTTCTGACCATCGTAAATTGACTTTATCAAACCTTTACATTTTAGTGTCAATCGACCATGACCGAGAGAGTCCAATTGATCATAATCTGTATTGTGTAGATGCTAAAGCATATTGCTAACTCATCGTCAGTTGGTCCTGATAATTTGACCAATCAAGAAACATTTAAACTTGGAAAAAAGTGTTACAATGGACAATGATTAAATAAAAACGGAATGAGGGGTTGTAAGCCAAATAATTTTCAATAAATGGATATAACTCGTATTAAGAGTCTGCTCATTTCCCATATTCTGCTTTGTTTTGTATTTTGTTCCCATTCTTTTTCCCAGATCTCACCTTTTATTCAACATCCCTACATACCACATCTTAAAAGTGTGTCATCCACCTCATACAAATGTGTACCAAATATCATTGACTTTCAATGTTGTCATGTTGAATCAATCTTTTAACATATTATTTATGCAAAATTTTCAATCCATAGACTATAACTGAGGATGGCAGAGATCAAACAAAATTGTCTGCATTGTCG